TCCCTACACAGGGCTCCATCCGACTTTGCAGATTCTTGAGGTCATCTCCAGTGCTTGCACAGTTGAATCCCAAGCCAGAGGCACAAAAGTGACAAACGTGCTGGATGCATTGGACGGTGGCATCCCTGCCACAGCAGGGACAGAGCATGGGTGACTTTGTCACTTCTTGTTTGGCGAGGTCCCCAGCCCCGGGAAGGGGGCTCACCCTAACCCAAGTCCTGGACCATGGCATCTGGGGCACCTCCAAGGGACAAGGACTGTCTGGAAGAAGCTGCAGGATCGGGGTGAAGAAAATGGGCAGAAACAGCAGAGGAGGCAAAGGAGGAAACTGCTGCAGCGCTGAAGCACTGCCCTGCGCTCGCCTCCTCGCAGGCGCTGCTGGGAGCTTGGGCCAGTGCTCAGCATGAGCTTCTCACCCACTGCTTACAGTTTTGCCAGGCTTCAGAGTGTCTGGCTGAAATGTTTTATTGTCTGCATCTCTCTGTTAGGCTATGTAGTTTGGCTGTTTCCTGGAATCACACTCATGAAAAAAAATATTTCGCTCAGTTAAACTTTTCCAGAAGCTTTCCCCACTTAATAATGACAGTACCAGTGAGAGCCGATTTATTGGGTGTACCTGGAAGCTGGTCATATACCGGGAGGAAATAAAAAAAAAAAAAAGGCAGGAAACCTTCCACAGTCTTGGCAAAGAGACTGAGTCAAGGAACCATGCAGCAAGATCTGGCTGGGAAATAGCTGAGTGACATTAATACAGGTACTCCTTTTGCAGCTCAAGACAAATAAAGGATGTTTCCCAAAGGAAACCAGGAATTTTAAAATAGTAGTATTCTTCCAAATCAACTGACTTCTGGAGGAAGTTTCCATCTCTGTCAAATGCTACCACCCATGACCCTCCCAACAAGGGCTGCGAGGGTCCTTGACTCATGGACCGCCTGACTTCTACCTCTGCACCCACTCTGCATAGGACAGTGATTTGGTGTATAGTGAGGATTGTTCAAAAATCAACTGGAACAGCAAAAAAAAAATATCCTTAGGACAGAGCAGATGTGCAGCAAGAGGCAGAAAAAGGTGTCATTCATCTCCTTCCAATAGCTAACTACCGGTCTAATTATCCCCTGGATCCTGCAGGATAATTTACACACAGACTCATCCCTCTAGGCCAGGGTGATTTCCTCCTCCTCTCAAAAGGCAGGTCAAAAATCTTTCCATTTCCTTTGGGTGAAGAATTTGCCTCATGCTTCCTATTTCCCTTGTCCCCCTCCAATGACCTGCAGAGGTGCAAGTAGGATAAACTAGACAGGAGTGGGAGACTGATTTTGACCATGTGGTAAATCCCAGAACCACTTTAAAACGCTGTGGCTAGAAGACACAGAGCGCTTTTTTTTAGTATGATAGTTTTGAGAGGTTGTCTTTGAATCAGAAGGCTTTCTGCTCAGTATCATCTATCTTTGATTGGGAGGAATATAATCATGAGCCCACACCCCATCAGGAGCTCACCAACACTTGTGACACTGCAGCCCGTCAGTTTGCATCTGGATCCACATGCCAGTGCCCTAAGACAGGGCTCACAAATCCTGGGTCTCCCCACCAGGGTCATAGCTCATTTATGACCCAAGATTTCTTTCCAATGCATGAGTCCACCTCAGGCAGCAAATCAACAGCAGAGCTGAAAACACTGCCATAGCTCATCGGGTCTGATGGTCTTCAGTTGTCTGCTGGAACGATGGAGTCTCTCCCTCCCAGCAGCCAGTGCTGCTTGCTCCTCACACATCTACAAACTGTAGACAACTGTGAAATGAAAAACGTTCAGGCATCCCTGAAGCCTGTTAGAGCCCAAAGAAACAAGATTCTACTTGCTTTCCAGGGAAAACAGGAGGAGAAATTAGAAATGGCCACTAAAGGAAATACGAGCCACTATGTCCTAACCAGCATTGATTTTATTTTGCATCTCTCCAGCCTGAAGGCTCTGTACTGGGAACACAGTTTAACCACAAAAAGGGAATTCTTCAGTTTAGATAATCACTAGGGATCAAACAATTCATTTTGTTTTTAAGTTTGTTTCCTTGCCTTGTCTGTTTTCTAAAGGTTTTTCTAAGAGACTCTAAAGACAAACAGAGCTCTCAAGCCAGGCTGAATGTGATTCTGCGTTTGGTGCTTTGGTTTTTACAACTTCAGGCATTTTTCTTGCTTCCCCTGTTCCCCTCAAAGACTGACATTTTGGCAGTCGCAAGTAGCAATCCACAGTTTAAGTGCAGGGGTGTAACATAATACTAATGCTTACCTTAATAAAACAGCTTGCTGGCTCAACCAGCAAGAAGGCCACTCATTTCTGCAGCAGCGCTGCTGGTGGTTGGGAGCCACAGAGGCTTTTCAGCAAAATTAGCAGTAAGTGTCTCCAGCTTGCAACGGATCCAGTCCGGATGGAGGGAGTCCTGGCTGGATATTTCAGAGAGGTTTCTTGACTTTGGCTGACTCCCCCAGCATTTATGGCAGCCTCTGCTCCCTTTCATCAGCTTAATAGTAGATGCTTGGTGACGATCATAACTCCTAATGCTGTTACAAGGATATTGTGTGTTAAGCAGTTATTAAATGAGGTCCCTGTTGACTACATTTAAGATTTAGGATACTTCTTAGCTTCTGAAGAAGCAGTACAACTTCCATGAGCTAAAAATGGCTCTGTATCACTCATGAGCTCTGAACAAACACCATCAGCTTCAAGCATGCTGCTGCTGTATGCCTCTCCCCTTCATCCTCCTTGCTTCTCACCTGGGAGAAGTCCTCACCAAGAGGCATCTCAGGGAGAACTTCTCACCCAGTACAAACTCCCCCTGACAGCACAGGGACTGCAGTCAGACTAGTTTAAACCTGGTTCTGCCACAACCTTCTTCTGTGACTCAAGGCAAAAAGTCATTTAAATTCTCATCTCTAAAGCAGGAGATTTAAAGACTGCTACAAAAGCACCTGGAGACCTTTCAAAGAGTGCTATAGAAGTTCAGATTATCAGTGGTGTTTCATTTTACACTAGTAATGGAAGTGCATCCTATTATATGAATATTCCTGACATTGGGCCTTTCTTGCCAACAGTTTTTGGGAAAAACATAGCCTCAGATTGGTTACTTGTGACCTGCCACTAGAGGGGTGTCCAGAATTCTTTCAGATTCCAGAGTTAGTTGCCCCGAACTCGAGAGATCATGATTTGTCAAGTATGAGAATTTATTAGAAATAAGAGGTTATATAACAAAGCAGTATGTGTAAATATATATATACACACACACACAAAAAGTATAGTATAGTTAGAAATATAACAGAATTGAAAATATATATACGTGTCAGAACTCTACAGTTCAACCATGGGTGCACGATACAACAATCGCACTTGCCCCTTATAGGCCACCTGCCTGGTACAGTTTTCCCTGCTTTCTCTAACAATGGGTGAACAGTACAACGACTGCTCTTGCCCTTTAGGAGCCACCCTTCCAGGATAGTTTTCCTGGGTTTCTCCTCATCACGCTGTTGACATCATGGGCGTAGCCACTGACAAGTGGGTGCTTGGGTCTACAGACTGGCTGATGGTGGATCTGAATGCACACAAACTTATGTGGCTTACTCTCTCTTGTAGCCAGTCAAAGTAATGCCAGCCCACAGCTATACAAAAGCTGTACAGCTCTAGGCAATAGCAGTGGGCACATCCCCAGGTAACCTCCTGCTCAGCCCACAGCACTGCTCAGTGGGCAACAACAGGCCCATTAATGGGTCGTTCTGCTGGGAATGGCTCCACAGCCCGAGATGTTTATGGTGTGGGTCTGCGGTGTCACTCCTCCTTTGGCTGGTCTTGTCAACCATGGGATAGTTGGAAGGTGTGCCCCCAAGGTTGCAGCAACCCCCACAACGCGGTGGTGAGGGCTGTGGTGCAGCCAGGGTTTGTTAGCTTTTGGGGAGCGCCCCACCCTCCAGCACCCCCGAGCATACCCCTCTTCCAGGGGCTGCACCATCTGGAGTCCCACGCTTGCCTGTGTGGTGCCTGTCATTACCCCAAAATGCCCTGCCATAATTCTTTTCTGAAATTTTTCTAACTTTAATAATAATTTTATGCTCAAAATAACTAATGTTGCTTGTTTTTAAATACTTGGGATAGAAAGCTCAATAATCTCTGCTGAGCTTGCAGCCAGTCATTATCCAAGGAATAAGCAACTTCAGGAGTAAGATAAATTCCCCTATTCTCTTATGCACCTCATACATCAGGACAGAGCAATGCTATCTTACCTTGAATGGGTGCAAGGGAATATTCCTCAGTTACAGAGAGAGGTTAAAGGGGAGAAGATAGGCCATACAAAGCATAGGCCATTACATAGAAGACAAAGATAGGCTGCTTCCTCCCATTTCAAAGAGCCTTTGACAACCACCTCGCTACATAAAAATGAAAGAGGTTGTTTCACCGTCTCTGAACAATGAGTAA